GTGCAGGATCTTGACTGGGAGGCAGCAAGCTGCAGCAACACTGGCGTGGCCGGAGATGCACGAGGCAAGACGCAGTGCAGGTGCTAACAACAGGTCATGCCGTTGCTTGTATAGTGTATGGATGGTTTGACCATTGACTTATGTCTAGCTAGCAAGCATAGATGATATATGGAGGAGTGAGCGTGTGTTTTGTCCGGAGCAAGCCGTAACGCGGAGGGAAGCAAACGCGAGCAGCGCGTGGATGGCCACGGCCGACCGAAACGAGGCTCCGCGCGCGGCTCGCGCGCGGACTGACGGCCGACGTTGCGGTGGTGATGACGAAGGCGCGGCCGACGGGGAGGACGCGCCGCTCCTCGCGGCCATTTCGAGGGCGTGTCGATGTCGAGCCCCAGACCACTATCGGAGAGACGGCGCGACGCCGCGGTGGTGAAGGCGAAGAGGCCGACGGCGAGGACGCGCCACCCCTCGCGGCCGCTCCGGGGGCGGGTCAATGTCGAGCCCCCGAGCGCTACCGGAGAGACGGCGCGACGGCGCGGCGGAGGCGATGAAGAAAAAAGGGTCCCGCCCGGACTGCGAAACCAGCAGCAGCGCGGTAGTATAGTACCGCCTCACGGTGGGCGCCAACGGTCGTGGTATTCTCACGGGGGGCTTGCGAGTCGACAGATGCCACAAGGGCTTAGTGTGAGGGTAAGACTGCTGCTGATAGGACCGGGAGCGGGTATGCGAGTAGCACGCGCTAGTTACCCAGGTTCGGGGCTCTCCGGAGAGATAATACCCCTACTCCTGCATGTCTGAGTATATCTGGTATATCTATCTGGTACAGAGTTGCTCCTGGAACTGTATCTGAGCTCAGTGCCATAGGCATCTGGCTTTGCATATGTCTTATATGAGTGTATGAGCTAGCTAGCAAGTGGGCATGAGAGTGCTCCACCGTGCGTGGCATGTATGCATGCGTGAGGGAATTCATCCTCCCTGGATGGATGGATGTGAGCCCATATATATAGTGTGGAGCTAGCTTGATATGTAAGCTATGTGGGTAGCTTAGGAAGTAAGCTAGGTAGTGGCATGGGAACAAGGGGGTATGATGGGGTGTCATGCTTGTCCCCTGGGTTATTTCATAAATAATTCCAAGGGATAAATGACACTATACCTGATGACATGAGGTACAACCATCTCGTCCACGGTATGGCCGCCACGTTGGGGTCTTGTCGGTGTCGGATCGGGTTGCAGTCGGTAGCCGGTTGTTTGGCGTAGTCGGCAGCCGGCTGGTTGGCGCAGTCGGCAGCCGGCTGGTCAGAGCAGTCGGACGGGGAGCCGGCAGGAGCGGCCGGGCAGTCGGACTGAGGGGCTTTGCTAGTTTCGATGTCTTGAAATATCGTCTTACCGTTTTCGGGGTATCCGTGGTCGATTATTCCGACAGTTGCTGACAACAAGAATAGCACGCGGCAGTAAGGGGAAGTTGGGAGGTGAAATGTCCTCCATATCGGGGGAGACTGGCACCGATGGTACGAGGTACCAGGGGTATCTAACCTGAAGGGAAGCCGGCCACAAGGTCGGCCTTCGGCCCAGCTATGGCTCATGCCTCTCGTCCCGTCAGCGGGCTTTCTTCCAAAAGCCACATCAACTTGGCTTCCAAGACTTGAACCCGCAGATTCATTCGAACAGTTTGGTTGGCATGATTCGACTAGGTATGTGAAACCCTAAGCCTTGTCATCCCTTATAAGGCGAGGCCAAGACCAACCTAGGGGCATATGACAATCGCACATGCGATCTCCTAGTCTCTTAGAGCATCCCTAACTTTTTTTTAGGAACCGGCAGGAGCACTGCCTTTTCATATAAGAAGGAGAAGAAGGTTTATGTACAAGAGTGTTCCGGTTTTTAGAAGAGAAACCGGACAAAAACCCCTAGAAAGAAACCCACGATGGCACTAGTCAGCCAATACCGGTTGCCACATGTGCCCGGCCAAAGGCCCGGGACCTTTGCTTGATGTCTTCGAAGGCAATAGCTGCAACCTCGAGGTGCGTGAGGCGAGTTCCATTGAAGATGCGTCGGTTTCGCTCCTTCCAAATGTTTCAGATGGTGTAAAGGAAACGGCCGCTCCGCCTTCTTCTGTCGTTCTTGGGCAGATTGGTGGTGAGCGAATCCCACCAGTCCGAAATCCCCATCGAAGGGGGCAACGTGGGCGTGGCCCCAGAGTCCTCTCCTGTCCAGACCTGGACGTGAGACCAAACTGCAGCGGCAAACGGGCAGTCCTTGCAGAGATGAGTGGCCGTCTCCGGAGCTCGAAGGCAAAGGGAACAACAAGGGTCGTGCGGCCAACCACGAACGGCTAGCATGTCGGCCGTGAGGATCTTCCCGTGAAGCACAAGCCAGGCGAAGAACTTACATTTTGGCTCAGCATGTGCCTCCCAAATCTTGGCCGGGGAGAACCTGGGATAGGATCCAGAGAACTGGGCCGCGTAGGCCGAGGCAGCAGAGTATATGCCATTGGGGGTCCACCGCCAAGTGATGGAGTCCTCCTGGTCTGGGTTCAACGCCACCTGAGTGATGACTGAAGCGAGGGCAATGAACTCCTGCAGGTGGGTAGGCGATGAAAGACAGGCAACCGATCTGATCCAGTTCTCCTCTTGTACTGTCTCCTATAATTTAGATGAGGGTACTGCCGAGTATCCTTTAAGGAGCATATTTGCTCTTCTAGAAAAGTGTCATTCCTTTATATATATATGGCTCCGTGCAACATTTTCATGATATCATTATGATCAATATTCATGTTCCGATTTGTTGATTTGGACTCTTGTTCTGACGCGGGGAAATAAGTTTTTCACTGGATTAGTTGGTTGGTCCCCGTGGATTAGGCTAGCTTTATTGGAATGGAACTGTTGGGGCTAGCCAGCCAGCCTGCAGATGTAGAGAGGTTGCCCCCACCATCCTCTTTAATAGCGAAATCAAAGCAATTTCTATTGATGGAAGAAAGGCTATTTGATCCCATCCGCCTATGCCAATTCGAGTCTGGCGAGTTGCTATCATCTGTTGCCCTAACTTTTTCTATTAGAAACAATTGCCTAAACTTAACTCCTTAAAAAATCAACACAAACTCATTGCAAATTTGATTCAGACAACTACATCAAACTTGATTCAAAACATTTTTCATAACTTAAATGAAATTAAACTAGATTGCATACAAACTAAATAAAACTACTCCCTACCGCTCTCTTTTCCAACCTCTCCCAGTCCAATTTGGTAAACGACGCATTTTCTCTAGCTCTACCGCCATGGCCTTTGTCGGCGGCACCGCCCTGGACGGCTCTGTTGCCACCGTCATCACTGTCGGAGTCACTAGAGTAAAGGTCGATGACCTCTGTCGTCCCGGTCTTGTACTACCCGTACAGTCAGCGCTCCGCCTCGACATGCTCTGGGTACAGGTGGCAGAGCTACGCCATGTACGCCTCGCCGGCTTGCTCTGCCTCTACGACTCACGAGCCTCCTGGTCTTCCTGCATCTCCCATGTGATGGCCACCCAGGGGTCGACGGGCACCAACTGCGGCAGACCATCGGAGAAGTTGCGCGGACATTGGCACCGTGGAGGTGGGCCGGCACTATGTTGTATTCTCGCGCTGCCTGCACTGCCGAGTGGGGAGATCCGACCCAAATGCGCTCATGGGTGTCGCGGTTGGTGATCTCCGCGACCCACATCCCCCACCGACCTTGCCGCATGTCGAGGTATTCCTCCATGGCAGCGGCGGTGGTGGGGGGCCGGGGAAGCGGGATCCATCGGCGTGGGAGGAGGAAGTGCCGCCACGGCCAAGGGCTCGGGACAACGTGTAGCGACGTGGATCCGCTCGGGGGATGGGTGGCAGAAGCGGCAGCTAGATCCGGTCATTATCAACAATGGGGGCGATGGCGGAGTGGATGGAGGTGCGCCCTGGTGGAGCTTGGGCCGCGGCAGAATGGAAGAAGAGGAGAGACGGGCGTGGGAAATTTTTACTCCGCAGGCAGGCGACCGAGTATATTCAAGGATCGCGGCTGCCGCGGAGTAAAAAACATCCTCCATTAAAGGTTTTAAGGATTTGCTTAGTTGCCGGTTAGAGGAGAAAACCCAAATTGGTCCTTCTCTAATGTTTTATTAGGGATCGGTTAGAGATGCTAATCCTCTTTCACATGACGACACATACATCAATCCAGACTCAGCAGGAGTAGAGTGTTGCCTTCGTGATGAGGGCCCAAACCTAAGTAAAAACCTCCAATGAACTCCATTCTTCTACTTTCGGCCAAGTGCATATGCCTATCGGTACTGCTGCAGGTTTTCTGACCCGACAGGCACGAGATCTTAGTATGCTTGCGTAAACCAATCAAGGGAGATGTGTAGTTTTAGCTCTAGAGCAACTCCTGCACTCGCAAGAAGTCACCCCTAGGACCTAGCGACGATGAAAGGTCAGGCTTGCAATCGCACGTCTCTCAAACCGAAAGCTCGAGAGCCGTGAACTCACCAGAGGACATAAGAATTCAGAGGCCTCACTCTTCAGATATACAGTAGTAAACCGATCACGAAAGTCCCGGTTGCTTGCCAAGGCTTCGATCTCAAGTCCCAACGACCGCTCCAAACCGGCAACGGAAGCAGCTGGCTCGCTTGGAATCGGGGAACGACGACCTAGCCTTGCCAGTCAGCACGGTCGGTGTCGCACTGCGGTACAAGACGAGCCAGCGCGTGGAATGGAACGGTTTCGGCTCACCGCGCGGCCGCTGAGAGATCGATCGATCCCTCCTCCTCCTCCTCCTTTCTTCTCTTCGCTTGCCACACTATTTTACTAGTACGTATGATCTGATTAACAAATCGTCGCACTTGGCATGCGACAGTGGACTTCCATGGCTATAAGTACGCGCCAGATCTTCACTTCTTTTCCTTCATTCAGACGCATCCGAAAGCTCCTGGTCATCTGTCTCGACATTTTTGCCTCTCCTAGCTTCGTCTCAGTTGCTAGCCTGGTCGTCTGACTTGTGCCATGGCCCATGGGAAGAGGTCTAGGCAGCAGCAAGCCGAAACAACCTCCGTCAGCCTGATGGACCTGGACGGCGGCGACATGGCGCGCATCCTCATGCTCTTCTCCGGCCACCACAACAGCCACGGTCACCAGGGCGCTGCCGCGCCCGCGTCGCCGGAGAGGGTGTTCGAGTGCAAGACCTGCAGTCGGCGGTTCCCGTCCTTCCAGGCGCTCGGCGGGCACCGTGCCAGCCACAAGAAGCCGCAGCTGGCTGACGGCGAGCCGGCCAAGCCCAAGGTGCACGGCTGCTCCATCTGCGGGCTCGAGTTCGCCGTCGGCCAGGCGCTCGGCGGACACATGCGCCGCCACCGCGCCGTCGCGGCCGCAGGGGCCGGCGTCGAGCGCGGCCTCAGCCTCGACCTCGACCTCGGGCCGAGAGGCGACGGCAAGAAGAAGACAACGGCGGTGGCGGCCGGACTGATGATCGACCTGAACGTGCCGGCTCTGGCACTGGAGGAGGAGGAGCCGGCCGATCATGCCAAGCTGGGGCTCGCCGTGGAAATGCAGTTTCCCGTGGTGGTTGACTTCCGACGTTGAAATCTAACACAAGATATTTACGTCGCTAGAGCCTTCGTCGCTACATCATGCATGGCCGGCCGTGCAGCAGGCGCGTGACGAACTGGCTGCGCTGACGCCTGTTCACGCAGACGCCGGCAATCAAGAGCCAGCTCCGCCGGTGTGGGGTTGGCCGTGCCCCAAGCGGATATGCTGAACTGCTGTCCCTGACACGTTTCCTGGTGAAGCCGGTGTCCACCGTCAAGGACGAGGAGGCAGCGGACCTGACTCTTCTGCTGCATATCTACATCACCAACAGAGCAGCTCCTGATTTTTTTTGGAAAATAACATAGCTTTGTTAATTGCAAATAACGGTTACATCGCCTATAAAAAAAGATAGAATTTCATCTAAAGGCTCCTGAATCGCTAACCTAGTCATGGGCAACTTTATTCGCTTCCCTTTATTACAGTGTTCAAAACCAATGAACTGCCTCTCCCACACTACCAATAACGCAAGCTTTGTTAATCACCTCCTGCAATCCCAACTTATTACAAACTTCTTTGCTTTCTGACAAAGAAACAACCCATTCTTTGTATCTTCCCGCCCATTTGTACGGAATGGGCATGTGGGCGAAACTTTAATGTGTCTATTGACAAGCGTAACACGACACGGGAGAGTTCCATGTAGCGTTCACCATTAGTACCTTCGCCGGGCATGATAAATTTCAATTCTTAACCTAGATGGGATTGACATTGATTCGTCCCATACCATTAGTATCTTGGAATTTCCTCCCATTTTGTTGGTTTCATTCTACCAAACAAGCTAACCAAACAGTGAACAACCCATTTTTTTTTGTATAACTCCGAGCAATGAAGTCCGACATGTTATACATAGGAAGGAGAATCACGAGGACTCGTTGAGCATCTATTGGCCACAATGCTTGTCTCACCAAGTCTTCATCTCAAAAATTTGTGACTGGATCAATAAGATTTGATACTTTTGACAGAAGATGCTCCCTCCTCTAGGAGTAATAATTTTTCTATTTGCACAGTTCGGAATCCATGCATCTTTTCAAATTTTGATATTTTGTCTATTTCCAACTCGGCAGATATAGTCATTTTTCAGTGATATAACTCCCGCTCTAATGCTTTGCCAAGTAAAAAAGAGCCCTTTTTTAAACTTGTATTCATCATGCCGCCATCAGGGAAATATTTAGCTCTCAAGATAGGGCCACATAAAGAACCAGGATTGTCAAAAAGACGTCATACTTGTTTAGCTAACAATATCAGATTAGAATGATGTAGATGCAAATATTTTACATCCGAGTTTACATCTGCTATAAAATGCATCACAAGTGCTGCAAATATGCATCACTCGGGTGCAGATTTTACATCTAAAACCCAACCCTGTCGTGCGAACCCAAACTCCCAATAGAAACTTCCACCGCGTGACCGCCCTGCCTCCCACCGCACCACGCCGCCCGCCCACTGGCCCGCTGACACTAGATCCGGCCTTCCCACCTCGCCGTTGCCGGGTCTGCCGCCCTTTGCCGCCCACACCTCGAAATCGCCGAGATCAAAGTCGTGCCGCCTCTGATTTGAAGCATCTTCGTTCAATTTCCACCCAAATCTAAGGCCAACTCCACCGCACGATCCCAAACAGACATCCGTTTTGCTCGAATTCTGTCCATTTGGGTAGGGCAATGGGGTCGTGTCCGGGCCGTTTCTGGGATGCGGTAGCCGTGCGCCCAACGCGCGGACGCATCCCGGCCGCATCCTGTCCGCGTACTTTTTTCTTTACAAGCCCGTAAACTTTTTTCATCACTCATTCTTGATACATGGGAATACATCACCAAATTTTGACTGGAAAATCAAGACCAAAGAAAACAAGAACCACAAGAATACATTTTAGAAGATATCCAACTTCCTTAACTGCTCCTGTAAGTTGGATTAGTGTCTTCTCGATGCATTCATTGTTGATCTGCGGAAGAGCCGCCTCCATCCTGCGTGTTTCTTACTTCTTCGAGTCTAAAGAAGTAGAGGTTGCTTCCTCGCATCTAGTCTCGTGTCTAGCCTCTAATATAGCAACAAGTGCACTTGTCTCATCTACAGCCTCTATGCTAGCTAAAAGTGCACGAACATCTACTAAATTGCGCTCTGTCAATATATGATGTACTCTTTTTCCCAATACCAAAACTTGCATCCATTCTACACAACAAAATTTGAAGTTAGCACAACTAGTCAAATCTAGAGCACAAACCGAAGCTAAAAAGAGCACATACCCCATCGTTTAAGCACTTGATGAACACCCATCCGGGATGTTCCAGCGTTGTAGACACGCGGCGCATGACCTTTTTTTAGGCAGTGGTCACACTTAATGAGCGGCAACGGTGCACCGACGAGCTTTTGGGCTAGCACCGAGCCCGGCCGATCGCCATTCATGTATCTACCGGCAGACCACCGACGGTGTAGATCCGAGCGGCTAGAGAAGGAGCCACTGCCTGCATGTGGCCTTGCGGCCATGACAGGGCCTTCCGGCCCGGTGTCCGGCCAGTCCATGGCGCGGCGCGGCCTCCCACAGCTGGGCGAGCTCAAGACCGACCGGATCCGCCCCAAATCCGGCCGGCGGGTGCGCAAATCAGGTGGCTATGGTTGGGGTAGCTCGGGGGTGCCGAGGGGAAGGGGCTGGGCGAGCGCGCGTCCGAGCTGCACAGCTACAATGGCAGCGGCGGCGGCGGCGAGGGAAGAGTGAAGAAGAATGGAGGGCATGCGGCCGGAGGAAGGGAGGGGGGCGGATAGAAAAAAGCGCCCCTGTGCCACCGACGGGCGAGCCAGGAAAGGACACGCGCAGACGACCTGCGCGTCCGCGTGCTGTCCGTTTCACCCCAAAAGCGGCGCAAACTTGAGTCGGGGATGGGTCAAAAGCGGACAAAAAAACGGACAAAAGTTCGTTTACGCTCGCGCACTGGACCATCTGGTTAGTCTATTTTATCTCAAACGGACGCACGTGAACAGAATGGAGTCGCGCAGTGGAGTTGGCCTAAGCAGCAAATGCTAAGAAAATAGCATGTGAACTTTCTGTCCGGCAGCGATTCAAGTTATGGCCGAAAATGTGAACTGCCCGCATTCATCACGCATCTCAAGAAACACCGTCAAGTACCTTCTGCTTATGTGTGAATACAACAATCTATTGACTTTGTGCAGTACAGTATCTCGACTTCCCACAGGCAGAGGTCCGGTAGTTGATTGGTTCCAAAAATCTCTAAATATTATGCTATTCCTTCCCTTCCAAATTACTTCACATGTATGGATGTATTTAGATGTATTTTAGTTCTAAATACATTCATTTCTGCGACGAGTAATTTAGAACGGAGGAAGTAGATCTCATCCAACGGAGGGAGTAGACCCTGGAGCTGATGTCAGTTGCATTATACGGAGTAGTTTTCTGTGAACTACCCAAGTCAGCTGAGCGGAGTGACCATACTATAATTGCCAGGGGCATTGTTGACTTGGCAGGCAAGAGTTGTTTACACAGCTCTATTAGTTGACCTCACGGAGGCTTGGCCCCAAGAGCTGTGATTTCCGGGACTCACGTACTGCTCGTTCCGGATCATACACAATGCTACTCAAAAGTCAGAATGCTCGAATATCCTCAGACTGATTCCCTTGATGGCTTCAGGTTGACCCCCCAAACCTTGATATAAAATGCAGGTCAGCTGGCCCCTCATCATCTCCGCAGCATGTTTAAATACTACAGTCGGGGACCAAGACAGAGCCTAGAGAGCCAGTAACACGGTGACACTAACAGCCCATTATTAAAGAGGTCAAATATGGCGTTGCTTCTACACTTGTCAAGCCTCCCGCATCTGTAGTAGTGGTGCGTGCTGCGTGCAGATCACAGGAGGAACTGAGACTCCTGCATCGATATGTTTTATCTGAATGGCTTCGAGTGAGAGTTTCTTACGAGCTCACATGCACCCAGGTGGTACAAAGCTGGCCTTTTTGGATGGTCTTGGGGTGCCTGGATGTTGGACGGCGGCCCTAATGGAGGGAGGCGTGGTGTTCGAGGGCGGAACTTGCGTCTCAGGTGCGGGCGGGTAGCCATAGCTTCGTGGGGGGCTTGGCTGCGGGTGGTGGGCGGAGCGGGGGTGTCGGAGAGGTGTGATTGCCGGGGTCTATCACTTACCCAGTCCTCGTACTGGCCGGCGGCGGCGGCGTTCACAGACGTCGTATCCTTTTTGAAGGCTCCGTCACGGTGCTCCCACTCCTCCGTGTGGCTCCGGGTGAAAACTTGATCTTCGGATCGGACGGCGGCGGCTATCCGTGGTTGTACCCTTCTGGAAGGCACCGTCCTGGAGTCCTTGCTTCGTCCTTGTCCGTCTCACCCCTCCTTGGTGGCTCCAAATAGTTCTTCTTGGTTCATCTCTAGTTTGCTTGGTTGTCGTCCGAGTGGTGTGTCGGTGTCCGGCACCTTTGTATCTTGCCTTGGATGTGTGCTGTGTGTCGTGGTGGGTGTGTTTGTATCGGTTCGCTCGGATGTTTGTGGTGATGTTTGCTTTATAATATAAAGCGGGGGCAACCCTTTTTCGGTAAACATATACTAAATCAGCGACAATTAATATGAAGCCGGAGGGAGTAATTTCTTTTAAAATCTTCTAATTTTTTGTAATAAACATTGATGAATGTTTTACATGCAGGCAAACTTTTGTGATCTTCATGGTGGTCTGAATAAAAATAATGCTTTAAAAAGACTACTTTTGGAAGCGTTATTTTTTCCTCTCAGACTCCCACGAGTGTCATTTCGTAACGAAAAAATGCATGCAGGTGAAACAATCTTCAATATTTGTTATAAAAAAGTCAATTTTTACTATTTTTCTGATTTTATGGTTAATCAGGATGCATATATGCTCGGGATCAGAATAACACTTTGAAGCGAAAAACTGCAAGCCTATTTCTGGCGATCTGCTCTTGTCATGGCAAAATGCATAGCTGTAGGCTGTAGCCACGCAGGAGATCGGATGCATCATTGATCGTCATAAAAG